GATGTACCATTGTTAATCCGGTGTAGTCATCTTTGCATGGAGAGGGTCACTTATAATCATGTTTACAGTCCCTTTCAGCTTTCTCTAAATTGAAATGCTTTGTTATCTGAAAAATCGAAAAATCTATTATAATTTTGTGTGCACCAAACATCGTTCTAGGCTTGAGTTTATTCAATAAATAATTAATGCATGTGTCTTCTTTTTCAAACTCTTTTTGTATACAAGCATCAAAGGAACTTAATTAATGCGTTAAATAGAAACATGCATAATTAAGAGTAAAGTAAAAATGTTATGGAAAATGCATATTTCATAATTTTATTAACTCATGTAAAATTTTACTCTAGAAGATTTTGCAAAATTAATATTTTTAAAGTAAAAAATTTTTAATCCCAAATTTGCCATTTTTAAAATCTTCAAACCCATACAAACAATAGGCCCCAAAAAAATTTATGCCATAGGTCATTTTCTTCATGCTGAATTCAGGTTTAATATCATTTAAACAAACTAAATGAATTAAATAGCGATAACACTTGTTAGCTGAACCTTCTTCAACCATAATTGAAACACTTTTAATTAAATTATATTGTTTTCGAATCTGCATTTAGCATCAAAGGAACTGGGTATTTGTCACAAACTTAAAATTTCTAACCCTTATATCTTAGCAACTTGATGGCGCAAACCTTTGATATTTCAAACTTAGATTATGTGATCTAGCAGAATGCATAGCTTGAAATATCTAAGGTCTACTGCACTGGGCTGCAAATATATAGGGATAAGAAAATCTGAGTTTGTGGCAAAGACTCAAATCCTTTCCAGGTTTTGTGTGATTTCTAAACAATAAAACGAATAATTAAGAAATCTGAATTGGAAAAATGAAATTGTGTTTTAAATATTCAAGTTTAATTCTGCCCTACCAACTTTTAATTGTCCCAAAAAATGGTTTCTTAAAACAACAATTAAAAGCTAAAGATATGACTTGAAAAAGAGGCACAAAGCGCCATGAAAGCCAAGTAAGAAAAAGTAAATAAAAATATATATTTGACAATTTATCAATTATTGCTTATTGAACAATTCCTTTGCATGTGTATTCTATTTGTATTTTGGAATTGTTTAGTTTATTTCTAATTGGTATAATTATCAATTAGCCGTGCAAACTCAATTACATTGGTTTAGGAAAAAAACATTATAGCAGGGGAAATATAAAAACATTATAGCAGGGGAAATAAAAAAAAAACATTATAGCAGGGGAAATATAAAAACATTATAGCAGGTTAAATATAAAAAAAAGTTATAGCAGGGGAAATATAAAAAAAACACATTATAGCAGGGGAAATTTAAAAACAATATAGCAGGGGAAATATAAAAAACATTAAAGCAGGGGAAATATAAAAAAAAACATTATAGCAGGGGAAAATATAAATATAGGAGGGGAAATATAAAAACATTATAGCAGGGGAAATAAAAAAAAACATTATAGCAGGGGAAATATAAAAACATTATAGCAGGTTAAATATAAAAAAAAGTTATAGCAGGGGAAATATAAAAAAACACATTATAGCAGGGGAAATTTAAAAACAATATAGCAGGGGAAATATCAAAAACATTATAGCAGGGGAAATATAAAAAACATTATAGCAGGGAAAATATAAAAAAAAACATTATAGCAGGGAAATATAAAAAACATTATAGCAAGGGAAATATAAAAAACATTATAGCAGGGGAAATATAAAAAAACATTATAGCAGGGAAATATGAAAAACATTATAGCAAGGGAAATATATAAAACATTATAGCAGGGGAAATATAAAAAAACATTTTAGCAGGGAAAATATAAAAAATTATAGCAGGGGAAATATAAAAAAACATTATAGCAGGGGAAATATAAAAAACATTATAGCAGGGGAAATATAAAAAAACATTAAAGCAAGGGAAATATAAAAAAAACATTATAGCAGGGAAATATAAAAAATAACATTATAGCAGGGGAAATAAAAAAACATTATAGCAGGGGAAATATAAAAAGCATTATTGCAGGGGAAATATAAAAAACATTATAACAGGGGAAATATAAAAAACATTAAAGCAAGGGAAATATAAAAAAAAACATTATAGCAGGGAAAATATAAAAAAAAACATTATAGCAGGGAAATATAAAAAAAACATTTTAGCAGGGAAATATAAAGAAAACATTATAGCGGGCCGGGGAAAATATAAAAAAAAACATTATAGCAGGGGAGAAATATAAAAAATAACATTATAGCAGGGGAAATATAAAAAATTACAGCAGGGGAAAATATAAAAAAGATTATAGCAGGGGAAATATAAAAAATTACAGCAGGGGAAAATATAAAAAAAAAACATTATAGCAGGGGAAATATAAAAAAAAACATTATAGCGAGGGAAATATAAAAAAAAAATATTATAGCAGGGAAATATAAAAAAAGACATTTAGCAGGGAAATATAAGGAAAACAATATAGCAATGGAAAATATAAAAAAAAACATTATAGCAGGGGAAAATATAAATATAGCAAGGGAAATATAAAAAACTAGGCTTAAATCTTCTTTTTAAATTGTGAACATGTTCTTTTTGTTTACATTTTAAAACAAAGAAGAAAAAATTTTTGCGGATTTAAAAAAAAAAATTCGCGGATTTTCAAGAATTTAAATTTTTTTACAAAATTAAAAACCTTTAAAACACATTTTTTTAATTTTTACCATTCGTAAACCTTCCCTGTGGTCACGTGATGTCCCATAAAAAATTTGGGCCCGATCGGTTCAGCCGTTTTGACGTTTATTGGATACAGACAAACAGACAGACAAGCCAAATTTATATATAGATAACACTATAGCATGGGAAAATATACATTATAGCAGGCGAAAATATAAAAAAGCATTAAAACAGGGGAAAATATAAAAAAATTTATAGCAGGGGAAAATATTTAAAAACACATTATAGCATGGGGAAATATAAAAACATTATAGCAGGGGAAAATATGAAAAATTATAGGAGAGGAAAATATTTTTTTAAAATCATTACAACAAGGGAAAAAATAAAAAAGATTATAATTTGAATTCTAAAGGAGGTGGTAGCCATAGATAAATAAAGGAGGTGGTAGCTGTTTGGCCGGTACACTTTTTCTAATTGTTATTTTCCTTATTAACTGTAGTCGAATTTTAAATAAAACTTTTCATTTTGGAAATGAATATAAATAATATGCCAGGGTTTGATTAAGGGCCAAAATCTCCATTTTGAAATTTTTGAAATCAAGAAATGCTTGATTTTACAGTTATAAGATGCATTTCTTTGATATATTTTCGAGAAAAAAATAAGAATTTGTGCGAGTCGATAAAAAAATAATCGACGTTTTTAATTCCAAAAAAAGCTGTCTGTCAAAAGTGTTGGTCTGCTAGAGGAGGGAGAGAACCCCCGACGCCATGAGCCTCCGCTATGCAGACATGAGCCTCCCATTTTATGGCTAGTTCTGAGACCAAGATACAAGATCAGATTTAAAGCGAGTGTCTTGCGCACGCATTTCTGTTGCAGAATAAATCTAGGAACTTGACAGGATTATAATGAGATATTTTATTCTTTTCAGCTAAACATGGACTATTTTAAATTGTGGCTTTTCAATAAAAGTGATCCAAATGAAGGCTCACTTGAAATTACATTTTCTTACAGTCCCTTTAATATGTTTTTATTTGAACCAAATATACAAATATTTTCAGTTTTGTGATTGGCACAAAGTGAGATTTTATAAAATATTAAATTAGATATTTTCATAAACTGTTAAGCCTCCCCTATTGAAAATGTATGCTGCAATTTTCCTATATTTGGCTTTGATAAAAGGGATAAACGTTGATGAAAGCTTGAATTGAGGTTTATTTAGTGAAAATGAAAAAGAAAAGCTTTTTTCTAAATTGTATGATTTCCCGTATTGGCACATTCTTGCTTCTAGTAAAGTGCATTCCTACAGGAAGTGCACTCACCAGTAAAATGCATTGACAAGCGCCTGATCAAAATTTTTCAATATATTGTAAAAAATAAATATGTGTCAAACGATTTATGATTCACACGGATTAAAAATTTCATTTAGCTAGAACCAAATAGATTCTATGTACAATAGATGGTAACGTACAGCAGTACAGCTGAATTTTTACGTCACAAGTGTAAACTTAGTTTTTGTGTCAGACAAAATTATTTATAATGGTGATAATTTTTGGAATAAAGTGTCTATCTTACTGTAAAATAAGTGCAATGTTGTGTTTTTTATTTTCTGTTTTACACTTTTTTATTTAATCTTAAAAAACATGTCAACTAAAGTGAGAAAATTTCGTTCTCCTTGCTTTATCTGGCACGGCATCTGACGTCATGTATAATTGGTCCATTTCTGTGTTGCCACCTATTGTACTTGATAATCTATTTGGTGAGAACTACCCAGCTAGCCAAATTGCGCAAAAAGAGCGCAATTTAAACTTCACCTTTCGCATTTTTAGGAAAAATTTTGCGTAGAGATTTTGGCTCTTTTTACGTCATGAAAGACGTAAAATTGCACACTTAGCTAGGCAAATTTATTGGTTTTATTAGACGTAAACTTTATGTAATAATATTATACAAATTTACGTCGAAAATGCGCATTTTTATTTTCTCAATAAATATGTCGGCTCTCTTTTACCAAAAATTATGATAAATCTAAGCAAATTTGATGTATGCAGATAGGCCATCCATCCCTGGATGGATGGATGGATGCAGTATAAGTATCTCTCACTAAACTGATTCCATTCATCAGGGCATACAGTTTAACAAGTTTCCACATTTATAGATATCGAGATCAAGATTAACGAACGAAATCAACTCATCGGAATAATTTTACCAACATTATTTTGAAATTTAGTTTTGTTTGAAGATAATTTAATTGACATTGCTTTGGAAGTGAATTGTAGAACTCTAATCTTAAACTAAAATAATCCAAATTGGTTGCAAAATATTTTATTAGATACTAAACGAGAACTACTCTGACGGATCTTAAGATTAATTATTTGCAAGTTAACTTTAATTAGCAAACTATCAAACTAAACGAGAAATGCACAACATCTATTTATACATTTCTATTAACTTGGTCACAATTTCACTAGCTGCTGCAGTTGTTAGTTATATAGATTGTTTGAACAACAACACGTGTTGCCTGTTTGTTGGTTTATTAGTTAATATATTTGTGGATCCAAAAATTGCAACAAAAAAAATAGAAATGTATATTTGAAAAGTCCATCTGTGAAATATCATCTATGATTCGTTCTTCAATAACATGTTAATGTTATACTTCATTATATTCAATGCCCCTGTATAAAGCTCAATTGATAGAAACCATTTGTAACTTCATTCTTCTTTTAATTTGTGAATCTGTGAACTCTGAGGTCTACCGGAAGTGCATGAGAGCAAGCCATATATTCCTAATATAATATATGCAATTTAAGCAAAAATTCTCATCTATATTCTGATTTAATCAATATATATCATGAACAGAGAATAAATTTAAACATTACGGCATTGCACTTCTAAATTTTAAACTTACTAAATTATACTTTTTCAAACCCCTCTCTAATCAAAGAGCATTTCCATGTTCAAGTCAGGAGTATACGTACAGTGAAGCGTTTAAATAATTGTTAAATGATTCTTTAGTATGAATATTCTTTAAAACACTGCAACTAATTTGTTCCAAGGGCACAGGTGGCTGATCATCGCGGATTTGATATTGGTGGATTTGCTATTTTATAAGCTGTTTAAAAAGTCCCAATTTATAGCTGACAACCTTTAGGGTATAAATTAAGAAAGGAGAAAGCTAGAGTTTGTTAATCCCTGAATTTCTTAATGAATCTAAATGCAGTGTTTAAAGCAATAGTTAATGTCATTACAATTAGATGTTTGTTTAACAGATAAAAAACGGATATGTGCAATTAACAATACATTTTTACTTCTAAATAATGTCATTTCCATATTAGATTTATTTACGACATGAAAATTTTACGAAAATACCAGTCTGTACTGAACTAGAAATTAAAATAACAAAGACATAATTATTTCAAAGTTTTGTAGAGAAGCTTTTCCTTAAGATAAAAGTAACATCTTTTTCCTCTTAGGGTAAAATTATTTGATAAAATATATTCAGTTTTTTTAACAGATCAAACAAATGTAGTTAATATAAGATTAATGACTGAAGGATATAAAACAAGGTGAAAGTTGAAAGTTAGGAAATGAAACCTTTATTTAATAGAGTTTGTAAATGAGTGGATAATTCAAATCAAACCCAACTAAAACCAATAATTTGATATACATCATGATGGGGGGTATAAATTTTTCTAGGGGGGTGGGAGGGGTAGAGAATCTCCAAATTCAAAAAAATTTATTTCCAAGATTATGGGTTAGTCTTCCCCTTTCATTCCCAAGAGTATCTCTTAATTTTCCCCTTTAATTTCCAAGAGTGTATTTTGGTCTTCCTCTTTCATTCCCAAAAGTATGCCTTGGTCTTTCAAATTCATTCCCAAGAGAACGTCTTGGTCCTCCCCTTTCATTCCCAAAAGTGCTTCTTGACCATTTCTTTTATTCCCAAGATTGTCTTGGTCTCCTACCTTCCATTCCCAGGAGGGCCTCTTAGTCATCCTTTTTCAACCCCACAGCGATCCATTCATCATTGAACATTAAGCTTCAATTATTGCGACCTAAGTATTTATTTCAATGCTAGTTTGTTTATAATTTATGCATTGTACATTAAAAACTTTTATTTAACAATATCCATGCTAAAACCTATTTAAACAAAAATTGTAGACATCCTGAGTCTAAAACTAAAGAATGCGCGAATTTTAAATTCAAGGTTAAAAGTTCTGTAAAATAATGAATAGCTACTTAAATACTAAACTTTCTCTATTTTAAATTTGAAATTCCCGGGAAAATATGAACCAATCAGAGAAAAGAATTATTACGTAACTATTAATGGTAATGAGCTGATTTTTAAATTTTAAATTATTTACGTGACGGAAAACAAAACATATTTCCAGTTACAACCGTATTTTGGGTTTACGTGCAAACATTAATTAATCTAAAACGTGAAATTTATTAAATATATCGTAATTAGTTGAATGCTCCTTACCGCTATGAATGATGATAGGCAAATAGGGATTGGGGGATTTCAAGATTTTAACCCTGTGTTTAAATTTTAACTCGTCGATTTCGGCGAGTTAAATATTTCACCACAGGGTTAAATATTTAACCTCACGGTTAAAGTTCAGGTTTAAATTAAGTCAGAAGTGGCATTTAACCATGAACTTAAAATTTAAGTCAAAACTTTTCGTTCTTTAGTTCTAGTTCTAATCAAATTAAATCAGAGGAAATAAAGTAAACCATGAATTATAAAATAAGGATTTAATATTTGTTTGAAAATTAATAATTTAATAGGTATATATATATATATATATATATATATATATATATATATACCATTTCATCTTCAAGACGATCTTTTTGCTCTTTCTGACTGAAATGTACTGTTGACGTTTAAAGAATCTAGAGCCAAAGGAATTATGTCTTTGCCACAAACTCAAATTTTCTATTACCTCATATCTTTGCAACCTGAGGGTGTGAACCTTTCAGATTTCAATTTTAAATTATTTGATCTCACAGAATTCGTAGTTTGAAATATCTTAGGTCCGCCACATTAGGTTGCAAAATTATAGGAATCAAAAAAATTCCTTTAAACCTTTCCAACTTTTGCATAAATGCCACAATTTAAAATTTATCATTTTTTTTTTATCAGAAAAATCAAGGATTTTATTTTTGCTTGAACGAAGGCCAATGTTGCCAAGCGAGGATGCCCCTTTCTCGTCTCTCGTCAAGTTTCTTGGCAGTCTCTTTATAGGGTTTCTTGGCAGTCTCTTTATAGGGTTTCTTGGCAGTCTCTTTATAGGGTTCTTGGCAGTCTCTTTATAGGGTTCTTGGCAGTCTCTTTATAGGGTTCTTGGCAGTCTCTTTATAGGGTTCTTGGCAGTCTCTTTATAGGGTTCTTGGCAGTCTCTTTATAGGGTTCTTGGCAGTCTCTTTATAGGGTTCTTGGCAGTCTCTTTATAGGGTTCTTGGCAGTCTCTTTATAGGGTTCTTGGCAGTCTCTTTATAGGGTTCTTGGCAGTCTCTTTATAGGGTTGGATCAATTCTTAGTTTGAATTCTTTAGATTCAGGCAGAACAGGAATTCGAACATAAATTATACAAAATTTGAAATGGAACCTATGGATTGCTTTCAACGGCATCAGATGAAAGTTTGGCTTTCATTGCATTTTGAAATTTAATCTGAATTTACGAATCGGAATTCGAGCTGCAAGCTTTAAAAGGACTCAAAAGGACTTACCTTATTTATCTGAAAACGAATTGATTTATAAAATCTTATGATATAAGTGTGTATAACAATTTTCTGTAAGATTACGGAAGTTAAAAGGACATTATACGTAATTACAAATGACTTTCCGTTAAAAACAATAGTACCCTTGAAGCCTATCTGTTTCTTATTATGGAAGATATATCCTCATTATTTAGCTTAATTTCACCATCTTCAATTTACTTTATAGAGACTTAAAATTAAAATAATCAATATTTAAAAAACATGAACGTGGATATCTAATTTATACTTGGTCAGGCAAAGCTTTCAGGGTTGTGCTGTGAACTGGACATGCCGCACTATCAAGAGGGTCACTTGAAATGAGGAAGACGCTACCTTCAAAGAAGTCCGGAAGTAAATTTCCAACGGCCAGTATTTGGATTGTTGTCCAAACCCCGCCGTTGTATATTGGTAACAGTGGAATAAAAGATGTAAAGAGGTTTAGAACAAGATCTTATATTATTCATTAAATGGACTGTTAGGGTTATTTCATTTAAATAGTTTCAATATCTGATTAGCCATGGTACCTTTAAACCTTTTTCGTTGTTTAAAGACCAAATCTATCAATTTCAAATCCTCTTTTCTTCCGTGGATTTGCAAAACACTCATTAAAAAACCCCCAAATAATAATTTCCCGATTTTGATCAAAATTCATTAAAATTATTCAGACAAGCCACTTGTTGCTATACAAGCATATCACTCTTTCATGTTAGGTTACTTCAATTTACGCCAACAGTTCCTTTACTAATGAAAAAAATATCTCTGTTTTTTTTTTAATGAGCTTGGCCATAAATAAAATTGAATATATTAAGTTGTGTGGTGTTTAGGTTAAACATCTAAATCAAGATTGTAAAGTATGGAAACGTACTAAAGTTTCAAGTTTAGGAATTTAAGTTGCCTAAACCCTGATTTAATGTATATTGTCAATATAACCCCCTCCCCCCTCCCACCACATTCTCCCTCTTTAAACCCCCTCACCTCCTCCACACACCCCCTCCCACCACATTCTCCCTCTTTACCCCCTCCTCACCTCCTCCATCCACCCCATCCCTCTTTACCCCCTCCTCGCCTCCTCTACCCAACCCCCATCCACCCCATCCCTCTTTATCCCCACCTCCTCCCTCTTTATCCCCTCCCCCTACTGCCTCTTTATTCCCGGCCCCTCCTTACCTTCAGCCCCCCCCCCTCCCTCCTTTCACTTTGAAGGAAGTTGCACATATTAGACTGCACTCTGCAGTAATAGAATAGTTTACTAAACTTTACAAATTACTTCAAGTTTACTAAAACAACAAAAACACTGTCAAAACACAACGTTGGAATTTGGTTATAAAGAAATTAAAGTGAAGCTGGGTTGGGGGGGATGCCAGGGGTTGTTGCATTATCTTGAAAGCAGCAAAATATCATTCTTATAAGTGTCAATTCTTGAGTTTCCTATCTCTATGATCACTGAAAAATTACTAAGACAGTCTACAATAACGTATTTCATATCTCCATAAAAACAATAATATTAAAAGGCAGTGTCCAATTTTGTGTTTTCTATCCATAAAAACAATATAAAATAACAAATAACAATAAAGTGGTATATCCTGTTTTTCATACCTCCATGAATCTGCCAGATTAGGCAGACAGTTTCCGATCCTGTGTCTTCTATCTCAGTGGTTTTACATTGTTTCGGACATAGTTGATTACGGCTAACAGCACTGCAGTTATATAAATTAGTCTAATATCAAACTACAGGGTGTCCCAATAAACATGGGAATTCAGAGAAAAATACGAAATCGTCTTTTTTTTAAGATTTAGCGTTGAAATGCCTAATTTCAATGGTCAAAATAAAGTTATGTCTGCTAGAGTACATTTTATGTATACGGTAAAAGAATGTTTTCTTATTCTGCTAAACGTTGTATGTTGTTCTGTAACATTTCTGCAACAATATATAGAAATTAAAACATAAACAATCAAATTTTTAACCCCAGCAGACGATTACAGCTTTCCTATAATGTAGGCATCATGACAAACACCACATTTAATCTAAATCGTCACTTAACTCCCATGTTAATTGGAACACTCTGTATATCAAGGTTTCTTACTTCAAGGGTTTATACAATACTATATTTCTTTACTTCTCTTCACTATAAACCGAAAACTGAAAAGTTTTAGATATTTGTTCAGAGAAAAAAGAGCTTTTTTACTATTCATTCTTATAAATCCTTACTCTTAATAATTTTTTAAAACGAACCTAGCTATTGACAATATTTGTATGTATGCCTATAAACGCGCACATAAAGAAAATATGGGCATTTTTAAAACAAAACAAATGAACTTCAGTTGGACAAAAATAAATTTGTATTTAATTAACATTGTGTGATGGAAGACTAAAATACAAAGATAAGCAAAATTATTATTCACAATCTTTTTTCCTTTTTCAGAAAGTAAAATTTTCTTTTGATCAAACGATTGAGGGTCTAATTACATATTTAAAACTCAATTTTGTGGATTTTTTGTAGAACATATTTTCACCTGTTATAAGATTAGACAAACTTAACAATGGTAAACAAGTGGACAATATATTTTACAAAGTCAATAATGAACACTACAAATTTAATTCAAAATGCAGCAGGGGTGTATATCTTATCGAAAAAATCATTACCCCCTTTCTAAAGTCATTGTTGTCCCATTGAAGTTATTAATGTAATGTGATGGTGATAGACCAAACCTATGAAGAGAAAAAAAAGTAGATGTTAGTTCCACATTTATTGAAAATATATTTCGGTCCGGGTTGACCCTCGTCAGTTCTTGAGATTGTTTCTGTCGCAAAGATTAAAAACAAACTCTATAAAATGTTTCAGAAAATTTGTAAAAGTTGTTTCGCTCAACTGGGTAAAAGAAATGATCGTTAAGGGTTATATGATTAAATTTTGGTAAAAAGAAAGAAAAGACTTGCGTTTAGATTTTTAAATGTTTCTCCAAATCATCAAAAATCATTCCCACCATCCCCCCCCCCCCAGGGGTAACTCTGAAAAATATAACCTCTTAAATGCAGAAGCATGATTGAAAGGAACGTAGTCATTAAAAACTTAATTATCTTTAGGTTTTTTTAAAATGATTTTCAAAACAACAAAAAATCAAAAATTAAAATTTGAATTACTTCAGCTAGCTCTGTATTTATAAAGAAAAAAACAAGATTAATTTTTAACGTTTTCCTGGATTTTGTGGTTTTATATTGAAAATATATAGATTTAGCATAATCTTTAAATTAAAAGGAACCCGATATCCGGTTTTGAGAGATTATCTAAACTCTCGCCGAAATATATGATATACAGTTATATCCCTTTTAAAAGGAATTTTAACTTTTATTTGATCATGTAAAGGGGATATCAATACAATAATCACTGAAACCACTCAAAAGTAAATATAAAATCACTCGGATTTTCAAGAATTAAAATTTTTTTTCAAAATTAAAAACCTTTAAAACAAACAGACACCAAATCAGACAGACAGCCAAATTTATATATAGATAAAGTGGTTGGCCTTATATATATTCAAAAGTGGAGACGAAAAAACGTAAATTCCTAGCTAAGATATGGCTTGAACTATTTAACCAATTTGGAAATATTTGCTCAGAAAAAAATATTGATTTCATCTAAAATAGTATCTATAGACACCGCGCCCGCGCGGTTCAAATATGAGACGTGATTTAAACATGGTTGGTTCCACTTGAAATCAAGGTTCAAACTCTTTATATTTTGCTTCAAAACAATTAACAACCATTCTCACATGACCCAAGCGAATATCCACAAGTGAAACAGAAAAATCTGCAAAGAAGTACGAAGACACAAACATTACTAAAGGTCTAATAAAAATCATTGTAACAATTGTTTACATAGTTTATCACTGTTTACCTTCTTAACATTAAATATAAAACTATAAAAGAAGAGTCTTACTAAGCAAATTCAAACAGTGTGATAAACACTTGATTTCTAAGAATGAAATGTTTGCTATAAGGTTTAAAACGATATTTCACATTCTTTAAATCTCTGTACCGGAAACACCACTTTTTCTTTCGTCTTTTTCGGGCACAGTGAACAGTTAAGTTTTCATTACCATATCCAAACATAGTGACAGGCAGTATACTATACAGAATAAGGTTTAGTTGAACCAGGATGAAAGGGCGGTATGTCGGGGAAGAGTTTTATACATCTAGCTGAGGGATTGGGGGATCCCAAGATTACTTTTTTGGCTCTTGGAGCGGTCTCGCAACTTGTTCTTGCGTTAAACACAAATCTATGGGACTTTAACGGGTTTCTATAAGGTGTAACCTGTGTCAGAGGTTCCTTTTGCGGAGGACCCAACAGTAGGAGTTTCTACTGCAGAGAAGTTTGAAGATTTGGCTCCTGCTTTTCGGGAACCAGAACTTGCTGGAGACTCCTCTGTTTTGAGAGGAATCTGCTCTAGAGGTTTCAGCTTGATAGAAACCAATTCTGTGGGTTCATTCCCTAGAAGGTTGTTAACCCATGAAACCTACACTGAGGGCTCCTGATCCTGAGGAATCTGCTCAGGGGTCTCCTGAGTCTGAGGCACCTGATCCTGAGGCACCTGCTCTGGGGGCTTCAGATCCTGAGGAATCTGCTGTGAGGTCTACTGATCCGAAGGAACATACTCTGAGGGGTCCTTATCCTAAGGAACCTGCTCTCAGGGCTCCTGATCATAAGGAACTTGCTCTGAGGGCTCCTGATCATAAGGAACCTACTCTAAGGGCTCCTGATCCTAAGGAACCTTCTCTGGGGGCTCCTGATCCTAAGAAATCTTTTCTGGGGGCTCTTAATCCTTTGAAACTAGCTCTGGGGGCTACTTATCCTGAGGAATCTTCTCTGGGGGTTCCTGATCCCAAAGAACCCGCTCTGGGGGCTCCTGATCCTGAGGAACCTACTCTGGGGCTCCTGATCCTGAGGAACCTGATCTTGGGGCTCTTAATCCTTTGAAACATGCTCTGGGGGCTCCTGACCCTGAGGAACCTGCTCTGAGGACTTCTTCACTACCTACCCTACTCATTGAGACCAAAGCGACAGAAGTGTTTGTATTTATCGGAATTCCTTTGTATAATCTCCACATGGTAACTAAAATCAGGTAGCATTCAGCAGGTTGAACTGCAGCCGGTATAGGACATGTCGATAGGAGCTGTGGGGGGGGGAGTGGAACTGCTCAGGGGTGGAGTAGAACTGAGCAGGGGTGGAGTGCAATTGAGCAGGAGTGGAGTGCAACTGAGCAGGGGAGGGGGGGGGGGAGGTCAGAGTCAGCAAAATTCTACAGGTTACATCCAGCTTTCTTTTAAAGCTGACATTTATTTTTCTTCTACTACTAACAGCCAGTTTTCTTCTACAGTTGACAGCTAGTTTTCTATTTCAGTTGACAGTCAGTTTTCTTCCACAGTTGACACCAGTTTTCTTCTTTAGTTGGCAACCAGTTTTCTTCTATAGCTAACGAGCCAGCTGACATCTAGCTTACTTTTACTGCTTACAGTCAGTTTTCTTCCACATCTGACATATATCTATCTTTGACAGCTGAAAATGATCTGTCAGTGAGCTGTAGTCTTTTCAATCTTGCAATTATCTGTCTTCAACTGACATTCAGCTTTCTTCTACAGCTGACATCTTGATTTTTTCGACAGAATAGAGCCATCTTTCTTTTGCCGCTCGACAGCCAGCGTTTTGTAAATTTGACAACTATCTATCTTTGACAGCTGACAGCCAACTGCAGCTTTGCAGTTTGAGGTTTCTGTCTTTTTCGACTGACGGCTGACAACTGGCTGGTGGTTGAAAATCAAGGTTTAAAAGTAAAACATATCGGCCCACCCGTTCTGTGTTGTGAGTATGCAATGACAGTTTTTACGCAGGCAGTAGTTTACAGGCAGTTCACGCAATATATTGGACCTGTGGCTCGTGATGTTAGTATTAGAGGAGGGTAGGGGGGTTGGAGGGCAGGTAGTAACAGTGTGTTTATATTGCATAACAAAATCATATTCAGTCAGGCTTAAAATGCATTAAAAAATAATCTTGTTATGAGTCCTTGAATAGCTCTTGAAACTTTTTACTATCAAATCAAATCAGTTATTTGCATTAATCCAAGTCGCAGCTATGTTTAAATATCTTTAAGTTCAAACAATACTTCTGTCCTTTTATTTTTATTCCACCAGAACTCCTGTTCATTTTCGGGATTAACTAAATCTTGTTAATCTTGTTCATTTTTATGATCTACTCAAGCAAAGTTGTAAAAAATGGGTTATTTTACCCATTTCCATTGACGTAGTTCGAATTTTACGTTAATTGTTGAATTTATAAAAAAAAAAATTATGTGCTCAGTTTCCCGGGATCAACTTGCCCAGCGACCCTAGGCCTGAACTACGATCAAGAGTCGGAAACTTGAGTCAGGAATCAGTTTGAAACCAGGATTAGGGGTTCAGATGTTGATTTACGGGGTTCGGAGAGTAACAGAGAAGTTCAGATATGATACGCGGGGGTTCATGGCAGCTAAACATCCCCTTCCTCGTACCACATAAACATATTAACCCGAAAAATGAAACTCTGTTTACATACAAAACAGAGGTTTTGTTACTCTTTACTATTTCTCAAATATGTGTTTTCGTGTCAAGAATAAATGGAAGGGGCTGAGCAATGCCCGACACTCAATGCAAAGATGGCAATGCCCGACACTCAATGCAAAGATGGCAATGCCCGACACTCAATGCAAAGATGACAATGCCCGACACTCAATGCAAAGATGGCAATACCCGACACTCAATGCAAAGATGGCAATGCCCGACACTCAATGCAAAGATGGCAATACCCGTTTTACTATAGGCTTAAAAGTGTTTCATTGTGATAATTCCTACATGTTTTTCTGCAGTAGAATTGCGCAATTACTCTTGAAGAGAAGGCACGATTAAAAATGATCAGCTTTCAAAATTATAACTATTCATATCTTATTCATACTTGATCAGATTAAGCTCTGAAAGGGTGTTTTTACAAATCGGGCATTTTCATCTTTGTCTCTGGAGGGTCACTTACTACGCTTATAGTTACTTTGAAAGAAATTTATCTTAGAATATATTTGAAAATATTTAATTTAAAGGCTTTATCCGGTTGGATATAAAGTACAATGTTTAACAGTATTTTTTACCTAAACTATTATTAGAAACATTATTGGGAGGTAGGTTCAAGGGTTTTTAAGAAAATGTGTCAATTATATGAATATAAATATATTCTATTCAATTCAGAACTGCACTAGGTGAGGACATACTTCATAGTAAAAAATCACAGGAAATGTCACTTATACCCCCCCCCCACTCCTCCTTTAAAAACAATAATTTCAGCGAATATGTATCTATCCTAACCTAGCCTAACCTGAAAGGATGTGTGTGTTGGTTTATCTATCAATCTGCACTTGTTGTTAGTTGTTAACTTTGGTTTAAAGGAAGTAAATAAGAAGACAAAATCTCATAGCATGAGACCTTTAAATCACAGTGCCAGGGGGATAGGGTCCCAGGTACTCATATTAAATCAGACCCAAATGAAATATTCAAATTCTGACTCAAATATCTATCATGATTTTGTCAATTACTCCTTTTAATAGTGCTTTTAGCTTTGAAACCTTCTTATTCGAGGGTTTAAAGGTCAGATCAAAACCTGGAAACCCTGCAAAGTTGGTCCAGTTTTCTTGAATTCATTGAAGGAAATGATATAATATTTTGTTAGAACCTAGCCGATCAAACTCAGGAATCTCTGACACCGATTTGCCTCTAATTTTGATGTGAGAACTCAGAAGAACCATGGTAATGGTCTTAGTTTGGTTAAAAATTATAAATTGAGTCGGCTGACTTTTATTTTAAACACTCCAAGCAAAGGTAGGTTTCCAAGCCAGTATAATACTAGTATAATGGTTTACAACAGAGCCAGTAATTGATTCCTTTGTTCCTTTAATCTTTATTATACTTTCATCATTTCTGCATAATTTGTTTTAGAAAATTTAGAAAATTCAGGAAATTTTCAAAATGAAAATGTGAACATTTGTTTAGTTATTTATAAAGAGTGTAGTGTACTATATATTATAATGGTTCCCGTTTACTAATTTGGGAACCCAGCTTTTCCTTGAAACAAATTTAGTTTTTATAGAGTCAACCTATTAAACAAAGAACTTTTAAACCTTATGGCAAGAACATTGCCGTGGTTCTTCAGAATTCCCAAGCCAAATTTGAGGCAAATCGGTTAAGATCGGACATAAGCGGGAATAGGGTTAAGTATTGTCCATAAACGTATTATAGTCAAACGGGTTTGAAAGCGTAGACAAAATAACTTGAATGTTGCTGCAGTATAAAAAATATAAAAAATATGAAAAATATATTTTTATCGAACATCAACTATTTTAATACAAACTAGCTTGGGAACCCAGCCTTGCCTGGAAACAAGGTTTTCTTTATAAGAGTAAACCTATTTAATTAAGAAATTTCAAATCAACATTCCTGTGGTTCTACATGTAGTGAATAACTACTCCATAACAATTTTACTCGAGACGTATCTATCCAGGTCTACTCGTTACCAAGATCAACCAGGAGTAATTCTCCGATTCTAAAGGACACACATTTCAAACATGTCAACTCGTATAACTCAACGAGAACCCAAGCTATCATTCAAGCTATATTCGATTCAATGCTAAATCAACTAGCAAAGATCTAAAGATCTCCGCTCGTATGCTTCAACGAGAACCCAAGCTATCATTCAAGCTATATTCGATTCAATGCTAAATCAACTAGCAAAGATCTCCGCTCGTATGTTTCAACGAGAACCCAAGCTATCTTTCAAACTATATTTGATTCAATTGCCAATTATCATGGCAAGATCTAAGCTCGTATGTTTCAACGACACCCCGAACTAGCCAGATAGAGAAGCATTCGGTTTCTTTTATTTGAAATCAAACATGTTTTGGTCTATAATTCAACAATCTTTAAACTTACAGATTTATATATTTTATATTTTTTATTCAAAATGTATACACCAACAAAAAATTATTTCAGAAAAAAGGCCATAAAATTATGTATAAGAAGTCAAATTGTGATCAAAAGTCACAGCTTTCTGAAATATTGACAGAACTGTTAAATCCACGTGACGAGAACCAAAGCTTTGTTCGAAGCTTACTATAGCTTCTGATAACGTAATCAAAAGCTGAGTCTCAATCAACTGACTACAGTTTATGTTACAAAGTGAATAGGAATGGACATAATTCAATTCCTACGATGTTATCTATATCACATTATAAATACCATCGTATTTTACAAGATTAGTGAAAATGTATATCACGCAGTATAACTATAACTACGTACATGTTTTTATCCCATAATTCAATTCCTACGATGTTATCTATATCACATTATAAATACCATCGTATTTTACAAGATTAGTGAAAATGTATATCACGCAGAATAATTATAACTACGTACATGTTTTTATCCCATAATTCAATTATGTCGTATGATTTAAGCTGATCAAATTAAATATTCCATAAAAATGAAGTTTCAATGAATAATGTCATTATACAACATTCAATCATTAGCAATATGTACAACGTAATGCAATTTTGCAGAAATCATGTTTGCACACTTTTTGCTACATGCAGACAAATCAGTAAGGGCTAAAGATTTCCTGAATTATGATTGGATATACAAACAAACACAGATTTAAAACTTATATATAGATATTGTTGAATTGAATAACTTCAACAATGTTTTTGTTTACAATTTTGTTCGATTCGATCCAATTATTTACTAAAAGAAACAACTAATTCGATGGTCATGATTTTTGTTTGCATTTGATTAAAAATGAGAACGTTTCTTAAACGTTAAATCTTGTAACTGTACGAGTAAACAATTGTTTGAAATTTCTGGCGATGTGCTTTAATCTATTTTGGTTCGAAAGCTAAGCAGTAAAGAGCAGTTAATGAAAACAAGGGTTACTTCCTTTCTCCGATATTGGATTTTCAGTGGTAAGAGAGATCTGATGGTTTAACATCAATTATATAGTTTTCCGGTCACTTTTAGGTTCACGTCGTATCTATCTATCTATCTTTATATCTATCTATCTGACTCTGTATCTATTTGGCTTGTCTGTACTAGTCTTAATGTTTTGACATGCCCCAAAGCAAGGTAATAAGTCAAGGAAAGTTAATTGCTGTTGCGTATTCTCTGCGTACATATTGAAACCAGTTTTCTCTGGGCGGTGTTTGTAGACAAGAACAGATGCATCATGGATGTGGATGTATGTGGATGGATGTGGATGGATGTGGATGGATGTGGATGGAAATGAGAAGAATTGATATGAAAATGTTTCAACGAGAACTTCAAAGATATTTTAAACTGCTCCGTCCAAACCATCAAAGAAATGTGAACCCTTGAGTTCCTTTAGATCAGGGCAGAGTTTCAATAACAGGGTTTATCATCATACTTCATATTTCAGATGAGATGAGAAACATGGGGGGAAGGGAAAATGGGAAAAAGAAATTAAGCAAAGAGGGGAATGGGAAGGAGGGAAGGCTAAAACTGGTATGGTTTCTCTCTGGTTCCTCCTTCTCCCTAGTTCCTCCTTCTCCCCTGATTCCTCCTTCTCCCCTGGTTACTCCTTCTCTTCCTAGTTCCTCCTTCTCACATGGTTCTTTCTCCCCTGGTTCTTCCTTCTCCCCTGGTTCCTCACTCTCCCCTGGTTCCACCTTCTCCCCTTGTTCCTCTTTTCCCTTGGTTCCTAATTCTCCCCTGGTTCCTCCTACTCCCCTGGTTCCTCCTTCTCCCCTGGTTCCTCCTTCTCTTCTGGTTTCTCTTTCTCCCCGTGTTCCTCTATTCCCCTGGTTCCTCCTTCTCCCCTGGTTCCATCCTTCTCCTCTGGTTCCTCCTTCTCCCCTGGTTCCTCCTTCTCCCCTGGTTCCATCCTTCTCCGCTGGTTTCTCTTTCTCCCATGGTCCCTCCTTCTCCTCTGGTTCCTCCTTCTCCCCTGTTTCCTATTTTCCCCTGGTTTCTCCTTTTCCTCAGGATTTATCCCCCCTCCCATGTCCAAAGACTGGATGCATGTTATCCCAAGTCGGAATAGAAATATGATATTATTTGAAGATTTGACTCTCTCCGAGGAAAATATTTCTTCTTCATCTGCTTCCTTTCATCTGGTAGATTTAGTTCCAGTTTCTCCCATTATTCATATTCATTCCTTCTATTCTTCTTATACCAGTCCAACCATAGGAGGAGGATGGGGGGAGGGAAGGCTCACCAGAAAATTTTTGTCGTCCAACCAAATGGTGAATTGTGAGTGACCTTGTGACGTCATTTGCGGCGCGGATAAAAAAAGTTGTGGTGTCCCTTCACCTTGCTCGGNAGGGCAGGGGGAAGCAATAAATAATACTGAAAATATTCTATATTCTAGAAGCTGAACATAAAATATTCTTGATCCATTGAAGGCTTGTCATCCAACTTAATGTTCAATGTTCTAAGTGATTGAGGCTTTACCACAAACTCTGATTTTCTAATTTTTGCAATCCAATGACGTAGACCTTAGATATTTCAAACTTTGAATTATGTTGAATAAAAAATTTAAGTTTGAAATATTTAACCTTAAGGTTGCAAAGATGTAGGAATTAGAAAATTTGAGTTTGTGGCAAAGACTTTTTCTTTTCACCTATTTTTGAAAAATATTTTGGAAAAATTTGCATTTTTTGTTCTAAAAAATGGCTCCTTTTTAAAATAATTTTTCTTTATTTTCACTTGACATTTTATATAAATGTGTTTAACTTGTTTTGACCATTGTTTAAGTGTTTTTATCATCATTTGAAGCCCTGTTGAACCAAGTGTCGGATCTAACTTGTTATATTTCCACAAGCAGATTGGTGTAGAGGCATAAATAGAAACATTTTCAGATTGGTGTAGAGGAATAAATAGAAACATTTCAGATTGGTGTAGAGGAATAAATAGAAACATTTTAAGATTGGTGTAGAGGCATAAATAGAAACATTTTCAGATTGGTGTAGGGGCATAAATAGAAACATTTCAGATTGGTGTAGAGGAATAAATAGAAACATTTTCAGATTGGTGTAGAGGCATATGTATTGATTTCTTTAGAATGACCGGTTTCAAACTACTCTCACTATATAAACTGTGTTTTCTTTAATCCTTTATTCAGATGCGTTACTTGGTAGAAGAGAGTTTGGATGTTTAACTGAAATAGATTGAAGAATTATAGCAACAATATAACATTGATAAGAACAATTTTTATAATGATTTCATATAATTACTTACACGAATGTCATCTATTAAGAAAGAAATCAAAGTTTACATCAGCGTCCATGGTTGGTTTAGGCCTTACTGAAGCTATACTCAGGATCCAGGCATACATACGTGCATGCGCGCAGCAATTGTACATATTATATATAGTAAAATGGGAATAGATCAAATGCCTAATTTCAAAACAGCATAAATAGAAACATTTTCAGATTGGTGTAGAGCCATAAATAGAAACATTTTCAGATTGGTGTAGAGGCATAAATAGAAACATTTCAGATTGGTGTAGAGGCATAAATAGAAACATTTTTAGATTGGTGTAGAGGCATAAATAGAAACATTTTCAGATTGGTGTAGAGGAATAAATAGAAACATTTTCAGATTGGTGTAGAGGAATAAATAGAAACATTTTCAGATTGGTGTAGAGGCATAAATCACAGAAAAATATGAAAACAGAAGAATAAAGGAATTGAGTCTTTGTTCAAACTGATTTTCTAATTCCTTTATCTTTGCAACCTAATGTCGTGGACCTATATTATTTCATGCTATGAATTCAATTCTGTAAGATCAAATAATCTAAGTGTGCACCATCAGGTTGCAAAAATATAGAGCCATTATCTTGCAAAGATATAGAGATTAGAAAATTTGAGTTTGTTGCAAAGACTCAATTCCTGAGATTTTTTTCCTAAGTTTTACTAATCATTAATCTTATTTGTACTTTTTGGATTTCTTTAAAGTATAATTTTAAAAGTAGTTCCAATCCTTATTAACCCTAAACAGGCTGGGGACGTTTGGCGCCCCCGCCCCCTGTAGTTTTTTTCCTAGCATTCTTATTTTTGACATTATCACCGTGAAATTTTGTGACTTTTAATGAATAGTAATTTAAAGGATTTTTTGTTAAGGTAATATTTTTTTAAATTTATTGGGTAGGGTACAGGGCGGAAAAAGTCCCGTCTGTGAAAAAAAACCCCATAACTTCTTGGTGACTAAAGCTACAGATTTCTGAAAAGCCCTTGAAAAATGCATGTAGAAGCATGTGTCACACTTTGATATTTGTTTAAAAATAAAATAGCACCCAAACTATTAAAGTTATCGGTCTAACTTTTTTTCTTTGAGCTGGCCATTAAAAAATGGGCTATGAATATACATTTCAACCCTATACCAATTATCTAAGGCCTTTTTCTAAGGGGGCGCCAAACGCCCCCCAGGCTATACATAGATTCAGACCCCCCAGCCTTTATAGGGCTAAATACTGTCTTGTTATTGGTATCTCTTGTCCTGGTGTCTATTTGTGTGTTTTTATCCAATAAACATCAAAACTAATGAAAAGACCGGGTCCAAATTTGGTGTGGCTACTCAACTGACCAAACTGTTAGATCAAATAATCTAAGTGTACACCATCAGGTTGCAAAGATATAGAGCTATCAGGTTGCAAATATATAGAGATTAGAAAATCTGAGTTTGTTGCAAAGACTCAATTCCTGAGATTTTTTTCCTAAGTTTTACTAATCACTAATCTTATTTGTACTTTTTGGATTTCTTTAAATTATAATTTTAAAAGTAGTTCCAATTCTTATTAACCCTAAACAGGCTGGGGAGGTTTGGCGCCCCCGCCCCCTGTAGTTTTTTGTCTTAGCACTCTTATTTTTGACACTATCACCGTGAAATTTTGTGACTTTAATGAACAGTAATTTATTGGATTTTTTGATAAAGAAATATTTTTTTTTAATTTATAGGGTAGGGTACAGGGTGGAAAAAAGTCCGGTTTGTGAAAAAAATAGCCCATAACTTTTTTGTGACTAAAGCTACAGATCTAAAAACTATATTTCTGAAAAGCCCTTGAAAAGTGCATGTAGAAACATGTGTCACACTTTGATATTTGTTTTTAAAAAAAAATATTGTTTTCAATTTTTTTGACCCATTTTTAAGCATTTTTTTTCCACCCTCCCTAGCACCCAAACTATTAAAGTTATTGGTCTAACTTTTTTTCTTTGAGCTGGCCATGAAAAATTGGGCTATGAATATGCATTTCAACCCTATACCAATTCTCTAGGACCTTTTTCTAAGGGGGCGCCAAACGCCCCCCCCCCCCAGGCTATTCATAGATTCAGACCTTCCAGCCTTTATAGGGTTAAGTGTTGTCTTGTTATTGGTATCTCTTTTCCGGGTGTTTATTTGTGTGTTTGTATCCAATGAACATCAAAACTGCTGAAAAGACCGGGTCCAAACTTTGTGTGGCAACTCAACTGAACCTATGGAAAATTTATGGCTTGTCGAAAAAATGCATCAATTTAAACAAAAAAAAATCGCGAAAATTTGAGAAGGATTCAAAATGCTGACTTTCAGAGCAATAGTTAAAAGATGAAAGCCTGTATTTAAGTATATTATATTGGAATATTGTGTGTAGCAGGTAGCTTGGTATACTGGATCCAAAATATGGACGTTCAAAATTGTTTCTGATTCTGCCAAAAAATTGGAAAACATTAATTTTTTAAAATTTTTAAATCAATTTTTTGACAGGATAAAAATGGAAGATTCGATGAGGAGAAATCCGTCCTGGAGAATGGTAAATCCGTCCTGGAGATCGGTAAATCTGTCCGAGAGAATGATAATAACGACCTGGAGAATGGAAACCTTGATCTGGGTTTAAACAAGGAGAATAAGGAGCCAGGTTCGTCACTGAAACTCTGGAATTCTGGAATCATTTTAGAAATATTGTCAATATTTATTTTGGCATTGTTACAATTTAAAATATTCAGATTAAAACAGATAATGGGCGAATTTACAAAAATAATTTTAAAGCACGCTCTACTCTGAAATTACTCAATTACAAGGAGAAAATCAAAATTCTATTTTTTATTAATTGATACTTTTAAAGTGGATTACGGAACAGGCACCCCCCCCCTTTCCCTTAAATCCGCCAATGATTATGATATTTTAGATTTTAAAGAAAAATTCTGAATAAAGGGAAAAATAGAAGACGGCGATTAGTCGTTGCGATTTTAATTGCTATCACTATCTAAATCTGTAATTGGTAATAAATGTAATAACATTTAATATTTCATATCTTTTGGTAAAAATAATGTTCTTTTTAACTTTAACGTATCTGAATGAAGGATTGCAAAAGAAAATGTTTAAAATGATTTTTCATTTGATTTAGATTCGCCTTTCTTCTCCAATTGGCCCGAATTTAAGATCAATTCAGTTTCTTTCCAGTTTTCTAATCCTAGATAATACCGTACGAAAAATAATTTAGAAGAGAAAGAAGAAGATGGATTAAAGAGGAGGAAGAAGGAAGAAAGAAAGAAAGCTGGAGACCTACTGTATAGTATAGAAGAAACACCGCCCTGGTGAGTTTTTTTTTCAGCCTCTTAATTTCAGATCTTGCATCTGAATTAAAATCAATCGAAGGGATAGGTTTCTCGAAATAAACCAACATACAGGGTTACTCACAAAGGATGAAACTTCAGAAGTTCAGGACGATTGTACGGAATTTATTCCTGCTGTTTCCTTATATTCATTATTCCCTGCTGTTTCCTTATATTCATGATTCCCTGCTGTTTCCTTATATTCATGATTCCCTGCTGTTTCCTTATATTCATGATTCCCTGCTGTTTATAATATCTGTGGTTTCCAGACCAATGTTTGAAAATGGCGATATTCCTCGAGGAATTCAGAGAATATGCACAAAATTGAATTTGAGGTTTACTTCGCTCTCAACAGTATTCAACATTTTATATTTAATATATTTACACAAGTCTCAGTTGTTTTTATACCTTTAAAGGGAGTGACCGGCTATGTAAGGTAGTTGAACTGAGTATGCAGTGTTGTGTAAAAACTTCTTTCGGATTCCATTGAGACATATTAAACTTTTTAAAGATCTGTAAATCCTGAGTTTGAGCGCAAATTCGACGTTCAAAACTCCTACTTCGGTGGTGGATACGTTTTCAGAATTAGTTTTTTTAAATTATTAAATAACGAAAAATAAAGTAAAAATTATACAGTAACCTAATTAGATGGTAAGGAACATATTTCTCAAAAGAAATTTGTCAATAAATCAATTATTTCTTTATCATCATTATCTTATTTGAATTTATTAGCAGATTTCTTCAAATTCTTCAAATGCCGTCTTTTCAATAATAATTCTAGAAAATCTGCAGAAAATCTTTGTGAATAATGAGAAAATAGAAACTGATAATTGAACAAGATTACTTATTTTCGATGATAAGATTAATTTTTATTTTCTCAATATGTTCCTATACATGACGTTTATAGTTTATTGTAGAACTTTTCTTACATTTTATGTCGTCGTTATTTAATAATTTAAAAAAACTAATTCTGAAAATTTCAAAACTTTGTCTCGACACCGCTGACATGTTGTCAATTTCATCCTTTCAGAATTTTTTGGACACACTTCCTCCCTCTAAAGATAAACTTTGAAGATAAACATTGGTTATTTTCTAATTCATATTTTTCGTGAAACTAAAGTAAATTGCACGCAATATTAATCAGAACTCCTCTCATTGAAGAGTTATTTTAAAGAACAAAAATGTTTTGTATTTCCAAGGAGAATTGAATACAAGGAGGGGGCAATAGGGTTTCCGTACACTTTGCTGTGACGTTTTTGGGCTGCTGGAGAACTAGTTTTTGCGTAACTGAGCGGTAAATCAAAGCCTAACAAATTGATAAGGCTTTTTTATAAGCAGGCTGAATCTATGTGTCCTTCTGTCAAGTTTGAGACTAATACTTTAGGCATACAACAATTGTCCTCGGCCTACAGCAATATCTAACCATGTTCGGGAGCACTGTATCCATTCCTTTCCTTATCTGCCCAGCCATGTGTATCAGGTATTAGAGGCATCTTAAAGGGACTGTAAGCGTAATTTTAAAGGGACGGTAAAGGAAAAATGAAATTGGGTATAGGACAAACCCTGAGAATTTCAGGTTTTGAACGATACCTATAAGATGTTCCTGTCTCGAGAAGTTGATATAAAACTGTGTCAAAATTATACAAAATCTGACATGTGTCCGTTTTGGTATAATTTTGACACAGTTTTATGTCAATTTCTCAAAACAGGAACATAAGATAGATGTCTTAACTATGTATCATTCAAAACCTGAGATTCTCAGGTTTTATCCTCTATCATTTTTCCTTTACAGTCCCTTTAAGTTATCCTCCATGCAAAGATAGCAATGCCAGATTTACAACCATACTCTTGAAACCTTAATCTGATCAAATATGTTGGAGATTTCGTCATAATCTGATTAGAATATTGTTTATTTATGTAAATTTATCTATTGTTTCTTATAAGCTAGAAATGCGCAAGTCACTTTTGCAGAGAAACCATGCACAGTTGAAAATAAACAGTTTAAGTAAACAAAAATATACATGTATAATTCATACTTGATAGACATTGTCATCTTTGCATGGAGGGTCACTTGAAATTATACTGACAGTCCCTAGCTATACAGAGGGAGGGGAGGGGGCATTCCCCTGCCACTAGAGAAAAAAGTGTGGAACGATCCCTTTTTAGATATTTGGACGCCCCCTCCCCCCCGTCAACTATCCCTTTTTAGATATTTGGACG